GATGTGGTAGTTAAGAGACTGCCAGGTTGCCTGTGTTTGTATCCTGACTCTGACGCTTACATTTTAAGTAACTCCTCTGTGCTTTAATCTCCTCATCTCTACAATGAGGTGATGTTTATAATTATAGTATGCAAGGGAGTTAATAAATGTTTACAGTGGTACCTGGGTACCCAGCAAGCACTCTCCAAGTGTAGTTCCTATTTTAGTAATAAAACTAAAGTTGTTGCCCTTAGCTGAGTGGGCTTTTAGTGAGTTTAGTGAGTTTTAGTGGGTTTCAATGAACTTATTCTAGTAGATTTGTTCTACTCATCAGGGTTGGCGAAAAGGCTTTCTTGGACCCTTGAAGTCCCCACCCCAGGTCACTGGAGCGCAGGCGGAGGAGCAATCCCAGCAGGGCCTGCAGTGGCCCCTGTCAGCATCCCCTGGCCTGCTCCCCTCACCTCTCCCCAGCTCCCTGAGAGGTGCCATTTTCACCAGTGGCCGTGCAAGGACAACAGCGGGGAAGCAGCAGCCTCAGGTGTCCGATGGACACTGGGAACTTGCCCATGGGGTGCCACCAGGGTTGCCACCTCTCCAGGTGGATATGTAGGAACTGAGGCTGCCATGCAGTCTTGGTGGTGTGCCTGTGGACGGGTGAACTCTGGGTAGTCCCTGGCAGGGCTGGTGGGGTTCCTCGGGGCTAGGGGAAGCAGGGCAAGGGATGAGCACAGGCTGGCCCTCCATGATCCCTGAGGGTGTCAAAGGCTGTGCATAGAGGAGCCCTTTACTTGCTGGGCCATGAAGAGAGGGTGCAGTCCCGGAGAGGGGCCATGGCAGCTGGGGTCATGCGGTGCTCAAGGGTGTGGCTTTTTGCCAAGTGACTCAGAAGGATTTCAATATTTTAACCATGGTGGGTGCAGTTCTTGAGGTGCATTCCAGCCAAATGCCTGCTCTGTCCAGGGTGATCCATGTCCAGGCCCTCCTGAGAGTCCCTGTGATGCACAGGCTGGGGAGGCACCGAAATGGTAAAATGACACTGTGAGCAGAGGGACTAGGCAGTGTGGCGAGAGCAGCAGTTACAGGAGTGGGGGACAGGGCAAGAGGAGGCTGGTGAGATGGGCCCACCCGGCCCCAGGCAAGGGAAGGGCCTAGTATAGTGCCTGGCACCCAGGACGTGCTTCATCAGAGAAGTTCCCCTCCCAAGAGCCATTGGAGGGCAGCGGTGAAGCTGTTGATGACCTCACCTTAAGTCTCCCCACCTTTATGACCTTGGGCAAGAGACTTAGCCTCTGTGCCCAGTTGCCTTCATCTGTCAGATGGAAATGATGCTAAGAGCACCTATCTAAGGGTTTCTGTGAGGATTTAATGCAATGGTGCAGGCAAAGTGCCTGACACGGTTCCCAGCCGTGCAGTAAGTACTTAGTACCTGAGAATCTTGGTGTATCTATATGGTGGACACATTGTATGTTTCTGGTGAAAGCCTTGTAAATCATGCTGAGAATGGTATTGCAACTTTATTCTGAGAGCAACTGGGACCTATGGTCAGATTTGTGGTTTACAAGGTCTGAAAAGGATCACCCAGGCTGCAGTGAAAAGGTTGAGCTGGAGAGGTAGAGACTAGAGGCAGGAAGGCCAGTGAGGAGGCTGTGATAAAATGGACAGACAGAGAAGGTTGCAGGCAGGAGGGAGTTCGAGGCGTCAGAGGTGGGAGATGTGAAGGAGGCAGAACCACCTATCAGCATTATGTGTGGATATAAGAATGGTCACTGGGGCTGCCCTGCCCAGTGTGACTCCGAGTCCTTGGGTAAGTAGCTCTGCATGCCTCAGGTGTAAAGTGAGAAAATAGTATGACCTGCCCCCTAGGGTTGTTGTAAGAAGTAGTATGAGCTACTATGTGTAAAGTGCCTGGAATGTGGCCAGGCACATGGTAAGTGTTAAGTGTTGTAACACTTACATGTGATTGAGTGTTAGTGTTTATACTATTATAAGAACTTGGGTGTGAGGAGGGGCTCCAGAGTCATCCTGACATTTACTGCTTTGGTGACATAGTATCATCAACTGGGAATCTCATGAAGAACAGGCTTGGAGAGGGTATAGCTTAAGCAGTAGAGTGCATCCTTAGCATCCAGGAGGTCCTGGGTTCAATCCCCAGTACCTCCTCCAAAAATAAATAAAACAAATAAACCTAATTATCTCCTTGCCAAAAAAAAAAAAGAAGTAAAAGAAGAACAGGTTTGACAGAAAAACGATGAGTCCTGGGTGTCTGTGCACCAGTGGGTGGGTGAATGGGTCTGAGGTCTGGCAGGAGGTAGTCCTGGACTGGAGAAACAGGGAGGTCTGGGCCCCATGGGGCCCATGTGGCCGTCCAGGTCACCCAGGGAGGGTGGGCAGGGAGGGAGGGAGGAAGCCAACATTTACCAGAGGCAAGAGGGGCAGAGGAGACTGAGAAGGAGCCGCTAAGGACAGGAGGAAGCCAGGAGAGTTGAAGACATAGAGTTTCCAGATGGAAAGTGCCTGAGAGTCAGGTGCTGCAGAGGAGAGTGAGGGGAAGACTAGGACAAATCCAAGAAGCCTTGGGGCCCCCAACCTCCCAGGGAACTCCCTTTGTCTCCCATCCCTCCCCTCTAGGACCAAGAAAGGCCCACCACGCTGTCTCCCACTCAACCCACTCCAGCTGGCAGGCATCAGGGTCTAAGCTGGGACCAAGAGGGACAAACGAAGACAACTGCTTCCTGAGTGCCTGCTCTGTGCTAGGTCCTTGTCATGTCACGCTTGCCCCTGACGAGGCCTGAGGGCTGGTGTTAGGCCTCGCCTCACTCCCTGAAGGGCTGGGCTCAGAGCAGCTGAAGAGGGGTCCTGTCTATGATCTCCTACATGGCTGTTTGACTTCTGATCCTTTCCTCTCCGAGGAGACTTAGGCCAGCGGAGGGGAAGGGACTAGCCCCAGTTACCAAGCTGACTAGTGCTGTGGTAAAAGCCGGCTCCCAGCTCTCCTGCCACCCAAGCTGGATCTTGCCCTTCCCCAAAGTCAGAGCAGCACTGTTGCGGAAAAATGTGTTACAGTCCGGTATTACAGCTCAGTCGTAACAGCAATCTGGATACCAGACAGAGACCAAGCAGCACTCGGAGAGTTGCAGAAATCAGGTTTATCACGGCCGTAACCACAAAAAGGTTAACACTTTAAGCTCTACACCGCGTCTGTAGGGTTACACAGGCCTTTTGTAGGCGGCCAGGTTTACATTTTGCAACATCATATGTAAATAAAGTATAACAGAAGTTGACCAACCAGGAGCAAGCTTTGTAGAAATAGACCAATCAGAAGTGAGAGAAATAACCAATCAGGAGTGAGGGGAATGGACCAATTAGGAGTGAGAGAAATAACCAATCAGGAGTGAGCTCCATGCAAATAAAGTACTACAAATGGACCAGTCAGAAGTTAGGGAAGTGGACCAATCAGAAATGAGAGTAATAACCAATCAGGAGTGAAGGAAATAACCAATCAGAAATGAGCTCAGGGAACCAATAGAATTTTAGGTGTAAGTTAGCCGCTTTAGAGGCAAAGAGTGAAATAGAGCCTCTGGGCCAGGGAACTGGACAGTGCTGGGAGGAGAGCAGCGGCCTTGCCTAAGGGTCCTGCTGGTCTTTTTTATGGGGCTTCCCGCCTCAGCAGGAGTGGGAAGACTAGAGAAGAAGGAAAGGTGGGATGCTGGGGTGACCCCTGAAGGCAAACCACACAGAACCAAGCCTCACTTTCCAGAACCCCTGAGTCCAAAAGGGCACATGTAGAGTCGCTTCCGCTCCACTGGTGCCCTGGCTGGATAGCAGCACCAGGGGGCAGGCCCTCCTCTGGGCTGGGTTCTGGGCTGGGCACTGGGGAGGCAGAGAGAGAAGAGAACACCTCAACCCCTGTGGGGCTTTCATGCCAACCTGGAGACAGACCAGGAAGTGTTGTTAATGCTAAGGGTGAACACAGGGATGAGAACACTGTGTCCTCTGGAGTATGTGGGTGTGATGTTGAGTGTGTGGGGGCCTGAGTGGAGCAGTCTGACATCTGTCCGGCCCCATCTCCACAGGAGCCAGAGCTGGACCCCAAGCCCATACTGGAGCTGCCCCTGGAGAAACTGGCCCAGAAGCTGTGGGCTGACGAGCTGAGACTGGAGAGCGTCCTCTGCAGCTATTTAGAGGAGGTGGGGGCCAGGGGTCAGTACTCTGGGCCCCAGGGCTCTGGGCTGGACTGGGGGATGTTACCTGTTATTGTTCTACTTAGAGGAGTTGGGGACAGGTGTAACCCTGTGGTGCTGCAGCTAGCTTGGGAGGGGGCACATGCCACAGTCATCTGGCACTTCTGCTCTGAGTCAGAGTGGGTGGAGGGGCTGGAGTGACTCAGTGCCCTGTCTCTGGCCTCCCCCTGAGCCCTTAGCTGGTCTCCCTCAATGCTGCTCAGGCACTGAAGGTGCACCATGAGATGAACTGCCTGACGGATTTCCTGGGGGAGTGTGAGGAGCAACTACAGGCATTGAAGAAACTCAAGAAGAGTGAGAGGGGCCTTCTCTACGCGGTCCCCATCAGCCTCAAGGACAACTTTGACTGCATGGTGAGCCCTGAGGGTACATGCGCATGTGTACATCTAAGTGTGTGACATCAGGCAAGTTACTTAATCAAGGCTGTACAGCTAGAAAGTGGCCATTTGGAAACTGGACCCAGCAGTCCAGCTCCCGGACCCAAAATCTTAACCACCGTGCTCTTCTGACACCTATGAGTCCTTCTAAGGGGGCAGCACTTGTGAGAATGTGTGGGAGTTGGGATGGGAGTCTGCTGGGTGATTCTACCCCGACCTCCTTGTCACTTCTCTGCAGGGCCATGACTCTACATGTGGCCTGGCCCAGTTCCTGGAGAAGCCGGCGGCCCAGGATGGGGTCATTGTCAAAGTGCTCAAGGCCCATGGAGCTATTCCCTTCGTTAAGACCAACATTTCCCAGACACTGCTCAGGTCTCTGCAGCAGGCAGGCCCGGGCGGGGTCTGAGGCTGGGGCTGGGCCCAGGATCAAGCGGCAGCTGAAAGTCCTGACTCAGGGCCGAGGGTGAGGTGGGGGCCAGTCATGCAGACCTCCAGGACTGAGATTTTTGGGCAAGTCATTTCTGCCCCCCTGAGCCTAGATTTCTTCATATTACAACATGTGGGTGGACTCCATGGTCCTTAAGGGCTGTCAGGTTCTGAAAAGTTACATCTGTTTCTATCCCAGTTTCTAATGGTTCTTCTCATCCCCTATTCTCCCCCAGCTCTGTCAGCCCTTCGTGTATCTATTTCTGTTTTTGTAACCTGTACCCAATTCTGATAGCAGAGCTGTGTTCTCCTTGGTCCTTATTTTAAGAGTCGTGGTTGGTCTTTCCTGCCCCTCAACTCAGCCAAAGAGACACCAGGAGGTTTCCAGCCCCAGGGGGGAGCTCACGGGCCCTGGGGGTGATCTCCAGGGAAGTCAGCCTCTCTATGGGCGGGGCGGCTTCTCCAGTTAAGCCTTCTCCTCCCAGCCCCTTTTCTCCTGCTTTCCTCAGCTTTGGTTGCAGCAACCCCATCTATGGACAGACTCTGAACCCCTTGAACTTAAAGAAGACACCTGGGGCTCCTCAGGGGGCGAGGGAGCTCTGCTGGCAGAAGGGGGTTCCATTCTGAGCATGGGTACCGACACTGGTGGCAGTATCCACGTTCCAGCCAGCTTTTGTGGTGTCTGTGGCCTCCGGACCACAGGATCCCGCCTCAGGTACTCGGTGGTGGTGGTGGTGGTGGTGGTGGTGTGGGTGGGCTCAGCCCAGCGTGGAGGAACTAGGGGTCTAGGGGAGTAGGGGGACCTGTTTCACTCATCAGCCCTCATCCACTTAGCTCAGTACTAGGGGAAGTGGGTGAAGTTAGGAGGGCTTCACATTACTCCTGCCTCAGCCACAGCTAAACACATCATATTTGGTACAGGTGGCAGTGGAACAGACCTTCCACTCACTCATTACTTCATTCATTTGTTAACTCATTCATCTATATATCTATCCATCTACCTACCTTTCCCCTTACTCATCATCAGTCCATCCATTTATCCATTTATAGCCATCCCTCATCCATTCATCCACAAATGCAGTCATCATCCTAGTCTCCATCCATCAGACAATTTCAGCATTCATTTACCATTTTATTTATTTGAGAAATATTTATTGAATGTTTACTCTGTGCCAGACACTATACTAGGTACTTGGGATGCATCAGTGAACAAAATGGACAAATATTCCAGTTCTAGAAAAACTTACACACATCCTTCCTGTCATTTGTTTATTCATTTGTCCATCCACTCATCTAACCATCTATCTATCTATCCATATTTGCCTCCATTCATCCATCTACCCACCCACCCATCCATATATATCCATTAATCTTTCCATCCATCTTGCATTCATCCACACATCTGTCCACCCATCCACCTATCTTTCAGCCCCATTCTGAGTACCTACACTGGAGTGGCCCCTGTTTGGGGGACACAGAGCACTCTCAGACCCAGCCCCTGGCCCTGTTGTGCTCTTAGACATCCAAATGGCTTAGCCAGCAAGTGATTGAGGTTCTAGGAGAGGTTCAAAGCTTGTGGGAACTCAAAGGATGAAGCCGACATTTTCTTTAACAGAGATTTATTAAAAGCCTAGACTTTAAACTTTCAGAAGCAGGGAGAAGGCAGGGAAGGCTTCCTGGAGGAGACAGCATTTGAACTTGGTTTTGAAGGATGGACAAGCCAGGTTGGAGTGGAATCTAGAAAGCTGCAAGTCTGTAAGGAGCCTATTTTGCCTGGAGCATACGTGTGTGTGGAAGGGGAATCTCTGGAAGGAGTTGATACTTCAGAGCCTTGAAGGAGAGTCAAAGAGCTCAGACTTTATGCTGTGGGCAGTAGAGAGTCATGGGGAGGTTGATGCAGCTCCTATTCCTGTGTGCTGGGCCCTGGGGGAGGGCACTGACTGGGTGCTCAAGCCTCATTGGCACCCAAGTCCTTCCTTCAGGTGCTGAGCTGGGCTCTGGATGGGTGGGGTTTTGCAGCTCCTCTGGAGTCACCTCTGCGGTCAAGGGCAAGAAATCAGGTAAGCTCCTGTCTGTGTCTGTGGCCACACCCATTCAAAGATGAACCTGCCAGCCTTCCTCCCAAGGTCACTTCACTTGTCCAGTATCTCAGACAGACCAGCCCCACTGGTGGTCAAGGAATCTGGGAGAAGGGACTGTGTGGCTCCCTAACCCAGTGACTCTTGCCCCATTGAGAGGCGCTTCCTGCTCTTTAGCTTTAATGTCTTCCGCTGCTTTCTCCATGTTCTTCCCCAGAAGTGATTCCCCTATCTTGCACCAGAGCAGCTTTGGCCAGCCTACCAACTCCGCCCATCCTCAACCCCTGACACCAGGGCCTCTTCCTTTGGCCCTGATCATGGCCCTGAGCCTCACCCTCTGAGGCCAGGCAGAGGGGTCCCCAGAGCAGAAAAGATGTGGGGTATCTGTCTCCCTCCACCCTCTCTGTGCAGTGACCACAGCGGCTGGCCCCATGGCCCGGGATGTGGAGAGTCTGGCGCTGTGCCTACGAGCGCTGCTGAGTGAGGACATGCACCAACTGGACCCCACTGTGCCCCCCCCCGCCCTTCAGGGAGGAGGTGAGCTGGTTGGGGAGCAGACCTGGAGGGCTCCCTCCCTCCCTTCATTGACCTGTCTGTTGTCTGACCTTCCCCTGTGAAGTCCTCCTTTCCTAGACCAAGGTGCTGAGAGCAGGAAGTGCACACGCTCAGTCATGTTTGTCTCCTGCCCCCGCTGGACACCAGCTACTTTGGGTTTTCCGCTACCTGGAGTCATAGATGATATTACCCCCAGAGAGGGACTCCAAATCGCGTACCCAAAACACACAGGCGGAATGCTCAGCAAGTGTGGTTTCGAGAGCCCGGTATCAAGTGAAGCTGGGCTCTTAGCCCTCTAGGTAATCCTGGCCAAGTCGCATCTCTTGTCTCGGCCTCAGTCTTCTCATCACTACAATGAAGAGGTTGGACCAGGAGATTGCTCCAGAACCTTCCAACTCTGACACTCTTCATTTATTCATTAATTCATTCACTTATCAGTGCCTACTCTGTGCAGGCTCTTTGTAGCTCATCATAACACTCACTCTGTAGAATGCACATTGCTCCTCCCACTTACAGGTGAGAAACTAAGGGAAGTGAAATGACTTGCTGATGATCTGTAGCTGGTAATTGGCATTGAGCCCAGCCCTGTCTGACTCCAGAACCGCCTCAGTGGGGAGAGTGTCTGTCTACCATTTATCGGATTTATTTATCTGATTGCCTACACACATCCTGGTACAATCAACCTGTGATCGTTGTCTGCCATCCATTATTTGCCTCTGTTGATCTCTTCCTCCTCCTGACAGTTCCTTAGCATCAAGATATTTGTATGTATCCATCTACTTGCCTGCCCACTCATTCAACTTCAACCATCCATTCATCCAGCCACCCATCCATCCGTTCAACCCTCTGCTAACCCACCCATTCACCATCTCATACGTACACCCACTCATGGCTCACGAATCTATCTATCATCTGTCTACCTATCCACTCCAGCTATCCAGTCACTCATGCCACCATGAGTGACTTCCAGAAGTGTCTCCAGAGGACCCAGAGCCTGAAAATATATAGGGATGCTCCAGGGGGCTCTTAGGGAGCCCCTGTGGATTGAGTGAGGGCAGTTGTGGCCCAAGGCCTCAGCCTACAAGTCTGGATCCTGGAGAGAGTGCGGCCAATCTCCCCTCAGAGCTCTACCCAGCCCCTCTTGCTCCCAGGTGTACTCCAGTAAATGGCCCCTTCGCATTGGCTACTATGAATCAGACGGCTTCACCCAGCCATCTCCTAGCATGGCCAGGGCTGTGAGGCTCACCTCCAGGCTGTTGCAGGATGCAGGACACCAGGTAAGTTTACTTAGCCCTTGGGAGGGAGGGAGCGAGGATGGACCTGTGAGGATGCTGGCTGGGCCATTCTTGGAGAGAAAGGAAGTTATCTAAGTTTGAGCTATTGAGATCATTGTGTTTCCTCTAAGCTTCCTGGAAATGACTGATGGGGTGGAGGTGGGGGCAGGGTGGGCCTCACTCTGTGAGGAAGGCACCCTCCTTCAGTGGTGGGGACTCAGGGACCCACTCCTAGAATCCCTATAGCCTGGGTTTTTCTCGCCTCCATCCAATGGCTATAAGGAGCTCTCTGTCCTCAAAATCCCTCTTCCCCTCCTTCCTCACCTCCTGTGCCCCAGTGGCTGGCCCTGGCCCTGCCTCCCCTTTGAGAATTGCTGGGCCCAGTCCCTTGACCCCCATGAGCCTCAGTTTTCTACCACCCTAGGCGGCTGTGAACATTAAAGGAGCTCACAGTAAAGCACTTGGCATGGGGCAGGGGTCACAGGTAGCTGGAATTCTGTCATATCTCTGTGCGGGGTGAGGGAGTGGGCATGGCACAAATGCCTCTCCCGCCCTGCTGAGGAGATGAGGAGTGATGTGACATTCTCTTGTTAATCCTAAGGGACAGAGAGAAAACAGGGCAGGGTGGGAAGAGCTCCAGGCCCTGACTCGGCCTCTGTCCCCTCAGGTCATCCCCTTCTCTGTCCCCCGCGTGGAGTATGCCTTCATACACCTGTTCACAGGGGGTCTGTATGCTGATGGAGGGGCTACCCTTCTGGAGAAGCTGTACGTTTTTCAGGACACAGATGTGGGGCATGGTGGAAATAGGATTTGGGAGGGAGCTGCTGGCAACCTGAGCCCTAGGAGCAGACCTGCAGGCCTGGACTGCTGGGATGCCTCTGGCTAATTGTGTGAGCTTAAGCAGCAAGTCACCCACTCAGGCTGCGTCTTCAGGGTGCACACATTCCAGGGGTGGTACTGGTGGGAACAGAAGCATTTCTTTGGGTCTGACCTCCCTCCATGGCTTATCTACAGAGGGGGAGCTGGGCGGGTAGGAGCCAGTCAATGGCTGAAAGGCTATAACTGACCAGCTGTGTGTTTGTGGTTCCTCAGTAAGGGGGACATTGTGGACCCCAGCATGAAGGGCTTGGTCAGCCTGCTCCGTCTGCCAGACCCACTCAAGTGTTTCTGGGCCTGGATCCTGAAGTACATAGTGTCTGCCCAGAATAGGGGGGACTCAGAGCAGGAGGGGCCCAGAGAGGAGAGGGGCTCAGAAAGAGGAGGGGGCCTCCACAGGGGGTGGGGCCAGGTCAGAGAGGAAGATGAGGCTCAGAGAATGCAGTGGCTCAGAGGAGGGTCCAACTAGAAGAGGCACTGAAAGAAGGGGGGTCCGGAGTCAAAAGAGAAGAGTGTGCTCAGAGGGGAAGCTTCAGAGAGGCTTAGAGAGGGGGAGGGGCTTCAGAGAGGCTCAGAGTGGGAGGTACCTCAGAGAGAGGGAAGAGGATTTAGCGAGGGGGTGGGGACTAGAGGGAGCTCAAGGCTCGGAGAGGTGGTCAGGGGCTTGTGGAGTTGCAGAGTGCTCTTCATGGACCCCTGTCCTGGGCAGGCTGGTGGTGTTCCATGGTTTCTGAAGTTGGTCTCTCTCTCTCTCCTCACCTCTAGGACCCCCGAACTAGCCAAAATTTGGAAGAGATTCGTGGAGTGGGGTGAGTGGTTGTGTCTCCTCAGGTCCAGCTCACAAGGGTCTTCCATGGGAACTGAGTGAAGAACATGTAGCTGGGGGTCTTGTCCACTGGGGGAGGACAGGGCTATTTAGACTTGGGGATCTAACTAGGGTTTTAGGGTCATGTCTGACATGGGGTTAAGTTGAGACATTTGAATGGGGTTCGGATTGGGGCTGGTTTGGGGCTGGGGTTTGATTTGTAATTTTAAGCTCTGAGTTAGGCTAGCTTTGGGTTAGGTTGGGATAAAGGCTGGGCCTGAGTTGAGGTTAGGTTTGGTTGCGGTTGAGTTTACAACTGAGGCTGGGGTTGGAGTTGGTTTGAGTTGGGACTGGGGTTAAGGTTGGAATTGGGGTAGGGATGTTGGTAGGAAGGGAGATGGGTTTGGGCTTGGAGTTGCTGTTGGGCTTGGAGTTGAGGTGCTGGTTGGAATTGGGGCTAGAGTAGCCTGAGGACTTACCTGGGGCCTCGCAAATTAGGGGAAGGAACCTGTGAGTTTGAGGGAGCTTGTGAGTCCCTGTGTCTGGCGGTGGTGGGGTGCATTGACCAGAGAATGTATCCTCTTGGGAATGTTGGACTGACAGGGGATCTTGACCAGGGGACAAGGCACAGGGTCATTCCTAGTTTATCAGCTAATGACACAGTATTGAGGCCAGACCCAGCGTTTTGGGTGTCCTATCCCCATTTGTATAAAAGGGAGTCCTCCCATGATGACCTTTGGACTTCTCAGTTGTCCTCATTCCCCAGGACACCCAAGAAACTGTGGGAGCAGCACACAGCAGTGGAGGTGATGGATGCCTGGGGAGACCTCAAGGGACTGCTGGAGCAGGGGCAGCAGACACCTGGGTGATGATGACAAGAGTGGCCCGACAGGGGGCAGATCCCTGTCCTGGCCTGCAGGGAAAGCCCAGCTGCACCTAGATGGGGAGGCCTGGTGACCTAGGAGATTAATGTAGTCTGTCTCCCTGGGGTCAGGATGACATATTGTCCCCAAGTCACAGCAGCTTGAGACCCCCACTTCCCATCCCTTCACCTTGGCCCCTGGGAAGACCCTGACTCCCCCGGCCCTCATCTCAGTCTGCATCTCACAGTTTGGAAATTCTTCCTGGTGTCTAACCTGACTTAGCCTGGGAGCACCTGACCTTGTCTCACCCCTCCTGCCTGCCACTATCCCTGCAGGAATATCAGCAAGAGTTCATAGCCAAGTGGAGTTCCCTGGACCTGGATGTGCTGCTGGTGCCAGCTCTGGACCCTGCCTTCTACATTGGCTATCCTGCCTTAGCAGCAAGTAAGAGGGCACTGGGTCCTGGGGGGGGCTGAGACTAGGAGTTCAGGACTTCCGAGTCCTGCCACAACTCCCGTGGCCTTGACTTCTGTCTCTATTCACTATTAGAAAAAGATTCTTAAATTGAGATAAAATTGAGATAACATGAACTCACCATTTTAAAGCATATAATCCAGTGGGCTTTTTTTTTTTAGTACATTCAGAATGTCATGCAACCACCACAACCATCTCATTCCAGAACATTTCCATCACCCTGAAAAGAAACCCCATGTCTATTAGCAGTCAATCCCAATTTCTATCCACTTTTTAAATGAACTTTCTTGAAGTATAATTTGCATGCAATACAGTTCACCAATTTTGAGTGTGTAACTTGATGAATTTTGACAAACGTATATAGTTGTATAACCACTACCATAATCAAAATATAGAACATTTCCATCACCTGCCAAATTTCCCTCATGTCCTTTTGCAGTTCACCCCATCCCTACTTCTGGCAACCACTGGTCTACTTTCTGTCACAATAGTTTTGCCTCTTCTAGGGTTTCATATAAACGGAATCATAAGGTATGAGGCTTTTGGGTCTGGCTTCTTTCACCTAGCATATCCATTCACCCTTAATGTGCTTTCTGATACCCCACTTCCAAAGGTGTCCTCAGCCCAGCCCAGCCCACCTGAAACACAGGCATCAGCACAGGGCAGTGTCCCATGCTCAGCACAGGTGCAGGTCTCAGAGGTGATGTCATGTAGGATGAAAACCCACCTCAAGCCTGGACTTCTCTCCCCTGGGTCCCCCGACAGTGGCTGCCCAAAGGCACATCCCACACTTGGCCCTGCCTGGTGTCCTCTGGACCTGTGGACCTGTCTGCCACCCTGGTTCCCATTTGTACATGGGGAATAGTAATCCCCACCTCTCAGGAGTAGAGAGGAGTCAAGGAGTCAGCAACGTAGAGAGGGCAGCACAGTGCCCTGCACTGAGTAAAGCTTGGACAGAGCTGATTCCCTCCTTTTCTCCACTGTGGGGAGCAGGAGGCCTCTGTCTGGTGGGCACCCTGCACTGGACCGGCTATTGCAAGCAGGGGTTGCAGTTCCGAGAAGGAACTCTAGGGGGCGCTCACACACATTCTTCCTTACCTGAGTCTTTTCGGAGCCCCTCATTTCCTGGGCTTAACTGGATCTTCCTACAGGTAGCTTTTCCTACGTCTCCCTGTTCAACGTCCTGAACTTCTCTGCCGGCGTGGTGCCCGTCACCACCGTGACGCTAGAGGACGAGGAGGAACTGGCCTTCTACAGGGGCTACTCCGGAGATAGTTTTGACAAAAATTTCCGGGAGGTCAGTTTCCCTCTTTGCCTCTCCCCGTTTTGGGGCAGGTGAGGGTGGGGTGGGGTTCGTCATTCTTTCTGTTTACCCATCACCATTTCCGCTGCAGTTTTACCCTCTTCCTGAGGACACACTATTTGCCCTCCAAGTCAGCTTCTGTCCTTGTTAGGGGAGAATATTTTGCAAAACCAGTGGTTTCCTTGTCACTTCTGTAGGGAAAGTAAATCCCAGAGGCAGGAAAGAGGAGCAGAGCAAAGGTCCCTGGTTAGGAGCTTACTGTGTAGCTGAACTGGACACTGTCCCTCTCGAGCCTCAAGTTTCTTCTCCAGGAAAGTGAGAATTAAAACATCTACCATGCAGGTTGTGTTAAAGGTTAAACTGAGAAAGAGTAAAGCAATTAGCATAAAGCCTTGTATGTAGGAAGTGTTCAATAAATGCTACTATTACTAATTCAGAGAGGGCTTTGCACAAAGGAAATATTTTCATGGGCCTATTTAATTCATGGTCTAAAATATCAGCCCTGACTTGGGTGAGAGAGAGAGACGAAAAGAGAGATTGGCTCTGAAAAGTATGCATGTGTCTGAGTCAGACATTAAGTAACTTATTTTTTCTGGAAATTGGTTTTAGTGCTAGAGTTACCCAGTGGAACTGCTGACCTGAATTCTGAGAAAATAACAATAATGATACTATCTAATGTGTCTTGAGCTCTTGCTCTGTTCCAAGAGTGTTTAAAAGTGCTGTATATATATTAAATCATTAAATCCCATAACTGTCCTGTGAGGTTTTGCAAATGAGGAAATGGAGGCACAGACAGGTTAAGGGACTTGACCAAAGCCACACAACTAGCTGAAGTGAAGGAGCTGGCACATGAAGCCATATGACCCAGCTCCAGACCAAGGCAAATAAGGGCCTATATGATAGCATCATAAAGCAGTGAACACAGGTTTGAATTCCTACAAGAATGTTTGGATTTCATGGCAGGGACTTAGGCTCAGCTTCCATGTTCCTGGGCCTGTGTTGGGGTCAAGGCACCCCTTTTATTGCAGAAGTGTAACCAGACTCTGGGTCAGGGATTTGCACATTCTTCTTTCTTTTACTGAGAACACTGAGTGGATATTTGGTTTTATATTTCATCCTTACAGTCACCTCTCTGCAGAGGGAGCAAGTTTTACATCTTAACCCTGGAGAATTGTAAACAAAGCAGAACAGTTTTTCCAGGTTTTGCCGAGGTCTGAGGAAGCCTGGATCTCTGAGATCCAGAACATTTCTACCATAATATAAATTCAGGTTGAGGCATTTGGATAAATGCATACCTATGTGTGGTGAGGAAGGCTGGGCAAATGGCCTGCGAGCAGAAGCAGGCTCTGAGTCCACAGACCCTCTCTCCATGCAGGTGGTGAGAGGCTCTGTGGGGCTTCCAGTGGGTGTGCAGTGCGTCGCTTTGGCATGGGAAGAGGAGCTGTGTCTCCGGCTCATGAAGGAGGTGGAGACCTTGGTCAAGAACCAGAGGGAACCTAAGTGACAAGCCACTCCTTCTCCTGGAGGCCTGCCTACACCCTCATCCAAGTCTGCTCTCGATGCCCCTTCCTTCTCATGAATACCACATCCGCCTCGTTTCTCCTCCTCCTGGAAGGCCACCGGATTCTTTTTCTTTGTAGTCCCTCTGTGTAAGTGCTCAATACACAGACCTCCCAGTTTAGCCCAAGATGGGGAGCAAGGTGAAGGGCTCAATAAACATTTTTGACTGGCTGGCCTTGTGATCTCTGGTCTAGGTGGAGAGGTGGGGCTGCAGCCTCCTGGTGGCCTTCTGCCTTCAGTTGCTCTCCTCCAGCTCAGTCTCCGAGATGCTATCCCACATTGCAGCAGAGGGGAAAAGCCCCAAAGTGAGAAGCTGGCTGGAGACCTGGGTCCAAGTCCTGGCTCTGCCACTGGCTTGCTGTGCAATCCTGGGCAAGTTACTTCCTCTCTCTGGACCTCAGTTTTCTCATCTACAAATTGAGGGGGTTAGATTTGATGAGGTCCATGGTACTTGCCAGCTTGACTGTTCTGTGAGCTGTGATTCCTAGGTATTTCCCTGATCAAGAATTTGGCATGCTTCCTTGAGAAAGTTCCATAGAGCAAGGCTGAGGGATTGAAACCAAGTCAGAGCAGACCCTGGGTTGGGACGCAGACCCTAGCTCACAGTGCAGTGCTTTGCCCACAAGCTGTTAATTTTTTGGCCTGACACTCAGCACCTCCTGAGAGCCTTCACAGCCTCCTCTGGCATGGCTCCACCTCAGCTCAGCCTCCCTTCATTGCCTCCAACTGGAGCCTTCTTGCCAGCACAAAGGGTGCTTCTGTGTCCGTGCCTCTGTGCATACTGTTCTTTTACCTAAACATCATCACTGTCTTCTCTGTCCTACGAGTCCTGTGTCAAATGCCACTTCCTCCAGGAGGCCTTCTTTGATCCCTTGAACTCCCCCATGATCTTCCCCTCATCTGAACTCTCTTGAGGTTCTCCTCAATCAAAACATGTACCCTTCCACTATCTTATTCCTTTTTGTAGCCATAGGCAATCAGCTAGGCAGATTGAACTCATTCCTCCCCAAGCTTGATAACACAGACCTCCTGGAGATAATATCTCAATGCAAATGAATGGAATTCATCCATCCACCCATTTATTCATCCACTTATCCACCCACCCATCCATCCATTAAAGCTACATATGTTGAATACCTCCTCTGAACACAAATGATGGAATTTCAGGCAGAAAAAGGCTTGAGATGAAGACTCCAGGAATCACCATAAAGGCAGCACTGACTGTACCTACAACAGAAGAAACCATCTGGGGTGTCAGGCGCAGGCTGGACAAGGCTATTACTGACCTCACTGTGGCCTCCACCTCTTTCCAGGCTTTACCTCAGGGTCTGAGATCTCTGCTTGAGAGGGATCCTCATGGATTCCCCTGAGTCAGGGTTAGTAGGTCTCCTGCTCTGCCTTTCCTCTTCCATAAGAGGGAGATCTAAGAGGCTCAGAGAAGTTGAGGGCAGAGAGGTTTTCTCTCTCAAGTGCCTCCTGCCTCCTTTCCCTGAGCCCTGCTGGCTGCACCAGTCTGGGCACCAGGGGGCAGCATTGAGCTTCACACAACCCAGAGATTACCTGGCCTTCTCTCCTGCCAGCAAGTCTTTCCCAGTCTGAACTCCATTGCACAGACTGGGAAACTAGAAGGTGGAGAGAGAGGAGGACCAGGAATAAACCAGTTGCATTTGCAGATTTTAGGAGATGGGGGCAGAATCCTATTTTTTTGGCAGAAACTAGCCCAGGGAGAGGGAGTGGCAGATACTAGCCCAGTAGGGAGAGTAAATGGAAAACCCCTTCCTGGGCCAGACTTCCCTCCAGGCTGGCTTTTGCTCGTTTCTCTGGAGCTGATGTTTGGGGTCAACAACTGCCTTCCTCCCCAGCCCCAGCTCCAGCTCAAGCGCTGACCTCTAACCTCTCACTGCCTGCGAGCACTGTCTCCAGCTGAAACCTCTCCCTGGTCTGTGTGACTGTGGGCAGGTCACTGGCTTCCTCAGAGCCCCTCTTTATAAGGGCTTCGTTGAAGCCTGCATGAGTGCATGTGGGACCTTCAGGGACAGGGCATCGCCTCCTCCTCCCCTTCCCACTCCTATTACTTCCCTCGTGAACAGCTTGATCTGGTTGCACTTGGGTCCGGGTTCTGGTTCTGCCTCCTCTATGGCCTTGGGCAAGTCTCCCAGCTTCTCCAAGCCTCAGTTTCTTCCGTAAGATGGAAATAATGATTACATCTGCAACAGCCCCAGGATGAGACAGATCCACAGAAAATTAAGGGCGGGTGGGAGAGGACTTGAGCTGCTCCTCCTCAGCCTGGGAGTCGCTATGGGGTGAGAGGCCAGTTCAGGTCTGGGAGTCTGTGTCCAGAATTCACAGGGAAGAGCCAGCCCCTCATGGGGGAGCCTGTCTGAGAGCATTAGGGTGGATCATTCTTGGGGAGGAGTTTAGCTCAGAAACAGGAAATTTCGCGGGGGCTGGGGCTGTTCTACAAAGGCTAGGACTGAGGCTTCTGACTAGGACCCTTTGGAAAGGGGGCATCTTGCGTTCTGGTCTTGTTTCGGCCCTTTCTGGGCCTGTTTCCCCTTTGGCTGCATAGGGAAGGAGTGTCCATGTCCCCCATCTCGCCCGCTCCCCGCTCCCATTTATTCCGAAGGCCCTGCCAGTCAGCGCCGCGTCGCCACCCAGCGGTCCAGAATCTATCCGGGCCTTTCCACCCCACGCATCGCACCGGGATTTCGTCT